GCGCAGTAAATGATTTCTTGTTATGTTCCTTATCCACCTCGATAATAACATCGTAGCCTTCTTTGTCGTTAATCAGGTCGTTAAAATCTTTTGATAATTTGTCGAATAATTTTAAAGTCATGTTTCTAAAAAAAAAAAACAACATACAGAAGGGTTGGTTTAATGATCAGTTTTATTGTACGTATTACGTAATTTTATGCAGGCTTATGCACATACCGCACGGGGTCACTGTATCAACACTCCGCAAAAAGAAGACAGCTCAATTGCCCAAGATAGTCTGGAACATAACAAAAATGCGAAAGAATCAAAACAAGGATTAGTAAGCAATGCTAGATAGACTTCAAATTTTGTATTAGATACATGAAGCTTCGAAAATAAAGATAAAATTTTAAACTTCTGATAAACTGCACAGTCTAGGTTTAATTTATGTATTTAAGTAAGACTCAACCTAATATATCACGCCTATTATGTTTTAGTTGGTTGATTATGTTTGTTTTTAATGTCAACAAAACCTATCACGTCTATCTTTTTTGGTTGATTTTTGTCATCCTCAACTTTTAGTTGCAGGTCAGCTACGCAAGCATACTGCACAAAGAAATACGTACCGTATGTATTTATTAAACGTTTAAGTAACATAACGATAGAATATGTTTATTTTTAATTCTTTGAGTATCTAGCTTTTTTTTTTTTTAATAAAATCCGAGAAGCGTTTCTATTTTATTCGCTTTCCGGTTTCAAAATACAGTATAATGTTTAACAAATTAAGTAAACAAACAAATAAATAAATTGTATACTAAAAATTAAAAATCCTAATGTAATCTTACGTCAAATATTCATCCATTTTAACGTCAATTTCGTATTTAAAGCATTGAATATTCTATCGCTATCACCCATTGTGTTTATTATTCCCTCTCCAATTTTATCTACGTATTCAAATGATTTACAGTACGTTCATTTTTTTGTAATCCATTAATTCTAAAACTAATAACATTCTGGAGGCGATTAAAACTATACTAAAAACCAGTTAATTATCTCTTTGGAGTTTTTTCATCATATAAAATGCTGATCCGCTGTTTAAAAATTGTCTTGGGTTAACATACTACTTCTTTAGAAAGAAATTAACTACGTATAGGTACTAATCATCCGTGGAATTTCATAACACTTGTTCCCAAATCAGGCGAGGGTACATAGACTCGGGACCATGAATGCCTGGCGTCAAATAATTTAGGGTGGTATGGATATCGCGAATGCTACTTATTACTGTTTGTTCCACTCTCTGACATAACTCCTTGGTGTAATATAACTATACTATGAATTCACGAGTCTTTATTGTAAATAATATTTTAAGAGCATTAGATCTAAAAATTTAACAATAAGAATAATATTATAAGAATATAGTCTTAAAAATGAAATTTTAATATTATAATATTTTAAAAATATAATGTTTAAATGTACTATTAAAATATAATATTATGAATTTATGTTAAATATATAAATTTAATATTATAATTTTAATATCATAATTTTAAAAATATAATTTTTCTACTATTAAATTAATTTTTATGTTATTTATTTATTTAAACTAATGACTAAGAATTTTATATAGCTAAGATAAATGCTAAATCATAGCTTTAAAAATACAAAATAGAAAAAACAAGGCAAATAATTTTTTAAAAAATAAAAAATTATAAATTATTCTATTTTTATAATTTAATTTTTAAAAAATTTATTGAACTTTTTTGTAATAAAAAATTTTTTTTTAATTAAATATAAATTAAAATTTATTTTACTAATTATTAATATTAAAAAATATATTTATAAATTTAAATAATTGGTTATTAAATTTTAAATAAAAAATATAGTCCAATTATTTTTGACCCACACTATATACAATAAAATTTAATAATATCTACTATACAGTATTATCTCGCGATTTATTAAGAACGTCCATAATGTAATTTATTGAATAACTTACACCAATCTCATGTAAATATATTTAATAATAACGGAAAGCAGAAATACCAAAAAATATATATACAACTGCATAAAACGATAGTAATACAAAACTCGGTGTAACTTTCTTACGAATTATTGATCTCTTCCAATTTAACTATCTTGAATACTTCATAATCGACGATACTAAATTTATTGGTTGTTTTTCTGATATTTTTTTCATAAATACTTGATTCATCACAATAGCTCTCCCCTTTGGTGAAATCAGACATCCTTGTCATCATGCATATTTCATCACAGCCAAAAATTGGACCAAAAGTTTCCTGATCTTCCAAATGACTGTTAATAACGGCCCTATATGGATTCTTTATGCGACTAAGAATTGATTCTTTAATGCTATCATTTTTTAAGGAGAAAATAAAACTATCACTTGTCTTTATCCATTCATCCTCTTCCTCATAAGTTTTATCCCACTTCATTGGATTATATCCACCAATAATTTCATCTGTTCCTGCTACTTTTAAAATTAATACCGTCTTTTCATGACCATGGCACATGTCCCAAAAAGTTTTGGGATTAAATCCATCACGACTTCCCCTTAAAATCAATTGAAACTCATATGGTGTGTTTCTTATTGAATATGATACATTATTACGGTCAATCCACGTCGAGATCTCTGATACATGTTCACAATTGATGATATTTGACTCAATTCTTTTTGGAATCTCTGGAATAATTATCAATCTCTTTGGTAAAATAGATAAAATAACTGGATCTTCCGGAATCATTGAGCGTTGTATTATATCATCCCAGAGTTGTTTATTAAGAATCTTCCTGTATGGTCTGACATTTTTCCATATATCTTCATTAGAAAGTTGAAAATAGCGAATGTGTGGTAGGCAATTTTTTAAAGTCATCTTTAATGTTAAGAAATTTTCTTTATTCCACTCTTCGAGTTTCTGAGGAAAAGTGCTACTCTGAGCAATCCCCCATTGGATAGTTTTATGCCAAACCTTTATTTCTTCCATTTGTAGATTATCCCTCTTAAGAAGAGAAATTAAAGCGTACTCACTAATTGAAGTGAAATTCTCGGCATCAAAAATAAGATTAGGATGTTTTTCCACAATAGCGTTACAAAATTCTTCTAATAACTTAAAACAGTTATTTTTAAATATCGAACTGTAAATAAATGAGAAATGTGTGCGTAACCAAGGAGCTTTGTTTTCTATAAGATAAATTTCTAATTGTTTGGATAGTTCTTCGAGTTCTATCTTATTAGTAGACATCATTAAGTCGAATATAAGCCTACTATCGGAGTCTTCTAAATTGACAATTCCGCTATATATGTATCTAAAAAAGTTAATGTTAAATTAGATGTATATTTATGATTGAAATAAAGGAACTTTGACGTACTTGAGAATTACTTCGATATGTTCCGCGGAAATATCAGAATTAATAATGGTCATAGCTTTATCTTTATTGATGGTGGCTTTAGCCAACTTTCTTCGAAAGTAGGACGACCGACATCGTAATATTGCCGAATGCGCAGTAAATGATTTCTTGTTATGTTCCTTATCCACCTCGATAATAACATCGTAGCCTTCTTTGTCGTTAATCAGGCCGTTAATATCATTTAATAATTTGTCGAATAATTTTAAAGTCATGTTTTTTAAAAAAAAAAAACTACGTACTGTACGTATGTATACAAAAGGTTTAAAGATCAGTTTTACAATATTGTACGTATTACGTAATTTGACGCAGGCTAATGCACGTACCACCGTGGCCTCACATCACACGGTGTTACTGGATTAGCGCTCCGTAAAAAAAAGATACGGCAGCTTCGAAAATAAAGATAAACCTTTAAACTTTCTGATAAACTGCGCATTCTAGGCTTAATATGTGTTTTTAATTAAGTCTCGATCTAATATATCACATTAGTTGGTTGATTGTGTTTGTTTTTAAAGTATTCTCAACAAAAACTATCACGTCTCTCTTGTTTTTGGTTGATTTTTGCATCAACTTTTATTTACAGGTTGGTTACGCAAGAACAGTGCACAGGGAAATACTGTACGTATTTATTAAACGTTAAGGAACATAACGATAGGCTATGTTTATATTTAATTCTTTGGGTATCTAGCTTTTTTTTTTTTAATAAAATCCGAGAAGCGTTTTCATTTTATTCGCTTTCCGGCTTCAAAATACAGTATATTGTCTAACAAAAAAAAAAAAATAAAATAAAAAATTGTGTACGTATTTTTCATTATACTAAAAATTAAAAATCTTAATGTAACCTTACGTCAAATATTCAACCATTTTAACATTAATTTCATATTTAAAATATTGTATTTCCATCGCTATCAGTGTTAGTTCTTCCCACTCCAATTTCATAAAGATAATAATGTTCAACACTTTATACATGCAGATTTCTCTGTCTCTTAAATATGGACCACAAGTTTCCTGATCTTTAGTACGACTATTATTAGCAGCAAAATTTGGATTCTTTACTCGACTAATAATTAATTCTTTGATGTCGTCATTTTTTAAGAAGAAAATAAAACTATCACTTGTCTTTATCCATTCATCCTCTTTCACATAGTTTTTATCTCACTTAATTGGATTATATCTATCAATAATTTCATCTTTCCTGCTACTTTTATAATTAATAAGTCTTTTCATGGCCATATGACATGTCCCAAAAAGTTTTGGGATTAAATCCATCCCGACTTTCCCTTAAAATCAATTGAAACTCATATGTTATATTTCTTATTGAATAGGATATATTCTTACGGTTAACCCACGTCGAGATCTCTGATACATGACATGTTCACAATTGATGATATTTACTCAATTCTTTTTGGAATCCCTGGAATAATTATCAATCTCTTGGGTAAAGTAGACTAAATACTGGTTCATACGGAATCATTGAGCATTGAATTATATCATTCCAGAGTTGTTTATCAGGAATCTTCCTATATGGTTTAACATTATTCCATACTTCGTCATTAGAAAGTTGAAAATAGCGAATATGAGATATGTAATATTTTAAAGTCATCTTTAGTGTTAAGAAATTTTCTTTATTCCACACTTTGAGTTTCTCAGGAAAAGTGCTGCTCTGAGAAATCCCCATTGGATTGTTTTATACCAAACCTTTATTTCTTCCATTTGTAAACTATCCCTCTTAAGAAGAGAAATTAAAGCGTACTCACTAATCGAAGTGAAATTCTCGGCATCAAAAATAAGATTAGTATGGTAGCGTTACAGAATTCTTCTAATAACTTAAAACAGTTATTTTTAAATAAATGAGAAATGTGTGCGTAACCAAAGAGCTTTGTTTTCTATAAGATAAATTTCCAATTGTTTGAATAGTTCTTCGAGTTCTATCCTATTAGTAGACATCATCAAGTAATATAAGTCTACTATCGGAATCTTCCAAATTGACAATTCCGCTATATACAGTATGTATCTAAAAAGTTAAATTAGAAGCATATTTATGATTGATAAAGAAAGTTTGACATACTTGAGAATTACTTCAATATGTTCCGCCAAAATATCAGAATTAATAATGGTCATGACATTTTATTTATTGATGGTGGCTTTAGCTAACTCTTTTCGAAAGTAGGACGAACGAAATTGTAATATTGCCGAATGCGCAGTAAATGATTTCTTATTATGTTCCTTATCCACTTCGATAACAACATAGTATCCTTCTTTGTTGTTTATCAGATCGTTAAAATCTTTTAATAATTTGGCGAATAATTATAAAGTCCTTTTTTTTTTAAAAAAAAAAAAAAACACTACGTACGTATACAAAAGGTAGTACCTGCCGTGGCCTCACATCACATGGGCACTGGTCGGGTCACTGGATCAGTGCTCCGCGCAATAAAAATATAAGGCTCAATAACTAATATAGTCTATATAACATAACTTAAGTAAGCCCCAAAGAATTTTAATAACAAAAGAATAAAGGGTAAAAAAAATAAAAATAAAAAATAAAAGAAAAATTAGGATAAACAATGATTAGTAAGCAATGTTAGAATTTGTATTAAAACATAAAGCTTCGAAGATAGAGAATAAACCTTTGAAATTCTGATAAACTGCCCAGTCTAGGTCTATTATATGTTTTTAAATAAGATTCGATCAAATACAGCATATAACACATTTTTTGTTTTTGGTTGGGTGATTGTGTTTGTTTATTATGTAGACTTGATAAAATTTATGTTTCTCTCGCTTTTTGTGATTTTTTTGACACCACCAACTTTTAGTTGCAGGTAGTTTACGCGAGCAGCCAGGTATTAGCACAGACTCGCTGTTGGCCTAAAAAAGTTGTAAGTCTGAATTAATAAAAAAAATTAGAGCTTTAATAGCGCGATACAGTCTCATTCTCAAAATTTAATTATCAATCATAATAAATCTTATTACTTTTAAACAAAATATCATTTTTAAATGTAGAAAATTTTTGATCTTTAAGTGATACTCTATAATTTCAAGATAGAAATTAATATTTGCATCAAATATATTTTTCGAAAAATAAATTGTCCTAAAACGTTGTCTAATTTGAACTATTATGATTATTATTTTACTTATTAAGACATATTTGTAAATAAATAATAAGATATGTAGGTGTTTTTACATTTTACGTAATTGCCAAAAAAATAATAAGAATTTTATTGTAATATAATGTACTATCTATACTGTATATCCCGAAAAGAAATAACTTGATCACATTATAAATTTTTGCAATAATAAAAACAAAGCAAAATTTATTATCTCACATAGTTTTATTTTTATATAAGAATTTGTGGTTTAACAAAATAAGATTTAATAGTGGAAATTTATCTCTGTACGTAATTTGAAGATCGAAGCACTGATCGATATACTTAATAATCACAACGACATAAATAAAAGAAATAGATTAGCTAAAAGCGAAAATAGAAATGAAAGAAGCATAAAATATTAAAATATTCATAATAAAATTACATAAAAACAATATTAACCCGTGAAGAGTGTTGTTTTGATCAATCGAATAAATATATTTCCCTTTAATATCTAGTCTTAAATTATTATTTGCTTGTATTGTAATTTATGATTTGCAAGTGTAGGGACGTATGTACTGTACATGCGTAAAGCAAAAATCAAAGAATTAATCATTTTAGCAATATTTATAATTTTTCATCATCATTACTGTATACCGTATTATATAGCTCATACTTTTTACGCATGACTCACAGCATTCACTCTCTCCTCCCATTCATAGTTTCAAGTTATTATAGTTTCTCTTGATTTACAATCCCTTTGTTAACCTTAAACTTATCTGCATTCCACGTATACGTATATTGAGTTCATGTTGTTTTGATCTCAGCATGATTCCTATCAGCAATTTCAGATCAAACTGCGTTCCATTTCCAATGCTATACGCGTTCTAAATGCATAACTTAAATATTTATTACAATATATAGTATTAAATTGAATCAATGATATCCCTATACTTTATCTCATGTCGTAGCTGTCGAATATTCTATCCTTTCCGTGATCATTTAAATTATTTCAAAAAATCGATTACGCAGATTTCATACTGTGAAGGATTAAGACAGAAAAGCGCATTAAATATTTTAATTATATAAGAATGAAAGGTACAACATACAAGCGAAAGTGAGATATAGATTTTCAGGCGACTCTGCTTAGGTATATGCACTAATGTTGACATTTCTTGAACATATCTTGAAATTGCGACACATTCTATACTTAGACGGTACGTGCAGTATGTGGTAAAGCCATTCCAATTAGATATTCCATTCGTAATTTATTACGACTGTGTATTATATCGCGCATCCAGCATGTATATACATAATTACATTCTGTATTGCAGTACTAATAACAGATTTTCTAACGAGATTTTGTCATTCTTGGATTTTTTTTTTTTTTTTAATATCAAGGGTATTCTACTTTAATTTCCAATATTATAAAAATAGACCTAAATAAATTACCTACCGACTTTATGGCTTAGCTAATTTTTATTCTCACTCTTAAAAATATAATATACCGAAGTTATAGATGCAGACGCGAAATTACGAATTAATACACCTGTTATTTCTTGCTTATTTTAATCGTGATAAGAGCAGTAAATTATTTTATAATGGCATAAATAAAATGAATTGAGTAAATAACAAAACTCTTTATATTGGAGGCCGTGAATCCTTGTTCTTCTAAAGCAATAGCGATTTGTAATATTTTAATGAGACTAAATTCACCACTCACCAATACGTACAGTATATTGTTATTAACTGTGTGCGACGGGCTATGTTCAAATATTCAATATTACCCGCAATTATTAAGGCTACATCTGAACCTTACGAGAAAGTGTAGGGAAATATTCAACGTTTAGAACGCATTCACACCTTTGGCAACGGTTTTGTTTGTTTAAAAAGGAAAAAAATTAAATTTTTCTATATGTAGTATATCCAATTCAACCTGACATTTTAGCGATCGACCTTGGAGAGCATATTGGTATATGCCTATAACATAATACTATCTCATTGATTTATAAATCTTTCAACCATTGCAAGAGTGAAGTAACTGCCGATATTGAACGAAAATACACAAATTTCTTCAACTAGATAAATAAAGTGACTACAAAATTTTAAAATAATCTTGTCCACACGACTCGATCAGTTGCTGCTAACATACGCGTGCAAGATTCAAGTATTCTTTGTTATCTTTATTTGGCAACTAATGTAAGCCTGACACTGGTTATTTGCAAAACAAAGTACAGATTATTCAATGTTCCGTAAATTAAATATGAATATTCTACCTGAATTTTTGAGCTTAATACTTATAAATAAACACAGAAATTAAGAAAATATGTTTACGCACAGTATTACCGATGCTAAATCCATTTAATTGATCCGTTTTATTATATATTCAACTCATTATTATCACGTACAAGTATTTCACTCGAGTAAATCTGCTCCAAGGATCGATTCATATTCCTCTTGGTAATCATTTTCGTGTATTCGATAATACAGTATTAGCGCGTGGCCAAGAAAACTTCAAGAGAAATATTGTAATATGTTCGAGATTTCTTTTGTCTTCAACAAATTTCTGACTTTGTAGATGTGATTTAATTAATTAAATGATGATACCTCGAGTTGTAGCAACTTTCTTGAATTAACAAAAGCTGATAACGAGAATCTTCGAGAAAATGGAGTATTGGAGGCAGGAGTCGCCTGTAACATCAATTATAGAGATTCCAAATTTTAACGAAGGATTTGTGAGTGAACTATTCTAAAACAGTCTATATTAAACACGTAATGCACAGTATTCAGGGAGTGTTTAATAAAATCGAATAATATCGGAAATACAGTACTTGGATTAGACAGTTATAATTCCCTAGATGTTCAAAAAAGATGGATATTTTATGGATTTCTATATTTTTTATAGTCACCAGGAAATCAGCAGATTATATGACAAGCTATTATAGTAGTTTGTCGACCGACAAAGAGATCAGTGTATCTGAGAGTACTATGATACTTTATAAAAGCTGTCGATGGATATACAGTATTTTAATACTCTTTTAAACGATTGTCAGAAACTTCCCGGGATTTTAGAGGATGCACTCAGAAATTAAAAGGTCATATACAATAGTTAAAGAATAACGTTTGTGATATTATTAAGTCAAGACGATAAGAACATCCGAAGATTAAGAATTACGTATCTGTAGTACGTACGTTTTGATGATCACAACACTGCAGAAAAATTCGATAAACCAATAACTGACAAAGAGGTTTGTGACAACTTTGCTGAACTAGTGGTGTTAATACGGTACTTACTAACTTCATGCAATATACAGTATTAATAAATGTTTTTATTTTATATCATAGTCATCGAATACTATCTGTTCCTTTATTTACTGTTTGTTTCATCACCCAAAAGTTAAAGAAAAATCAATAAGAGATTGATAGAGTCTTGGGAAAAGATTATGATTATAAATTTACTCACGACTACGTAGTGATTCCTGAATCTGCGAAGCAGTAATTAGCGATATATAAAAATTTATTTATTATTCTACTTAAGTCTACGATTATACATTGACTCAAAAAATTGGCTCAATAATTAAACCATTTTTGTTTATAGTAAATATCTTTTGAGCAACTGATTTAAAAAGTGATAAATTTAATTATAGATGCATATTTATTTGGTCTTTTAAATTATTTAAGTTATTATTATCAGTATTAAAAAATAGTTAATTGTAGTTGATACAATTTTGGGGTGATAATGCTTTATTAAATATTTTGTCGTAAATTTCATAATAATTTTTATTTTTTTTTAGAAAGATATACTGTATAAAGAACATTGATTTGTTATTTTTTATTGCTTGCATATTATTTTTTAAATAAGTAACCATCTTTCTAAGTAAAAACATAATGATTTTATTTCTTTGATTTGTAATGGATTATGTACAAGAAAATTGTCACTCAACTTGGTATTGACCATAGTATTATATCAAGAATTCATCAAAATATATGTCCTAATATATTAAAATCTCTTGCTGGTCATTCATCTTCTTTAAATTAATAACAAGAACATTATATTGTACATTTAATATGTTCAGAACAAGAAGATACAGCTATATATGTTAAAAAATACTTTAAAACATATTAGAATATAAAAATTATAGCACAGATAGTTCATAATATATTAAAAAATGTGTGGAAATTAATTACCAAAAAAAAAAGCCTTTTCTTAAACCATATTATTAAAAACAATAAATGAATTTTATAAAAAGATTCAAGGACTGGATAATTGAAGATTGGAAGAAGATTATTTTTTAGATGAAATTAAAATCAATTATTTTAAATCATATGGTTGAAAATGAAAATTGTTAGCTCAGCCTTGTTTTATTTGAATTAATTGTTGGCTCAGCCTTGTTTTATTTGAATTTAGTAGAAAGTTATATATGACTATGCTATAGCTACTTTTGTTTACCAAATAAAGCTTGATAAGATTTGACTTGCCTCATGACTTGTTGCTACCCTATAAAGTAAACTAACCTACCAAGGCTAGACTAGTCTGAATAAAATTTTTAGTAAGTAGTAGGGGGTTGTGATTAATTAGATGCTCCTATGAATGTACTGATTGATTAAGTTAATAAATTGATTTTTTATATGTTTCTCTCTCTTTTCAATCCATAAGTCTAGAGAAATAAAGCTGTATTTGTATAGTTTTTCTGTAGTTCTTGTAACATCTTTTTGGATTTTCCATATTTAGAAGACTTCATATCTACTTTGTCATATTTTTGTAAATGGCTTATAATTTTTTTGATAAATTCCTGGATATACATTTTTTTGTATTTTGGTTGGAAACCAGTTTACTTATAACATTAATCATTTCCTTTAAAATGCTTTTTAGGATAGCAACCTTTAAGTTTTCCTGTAATTAAAGACAATTTTGACTTAGTACTATCTAATGACTTGTTTGATTCTGTCTATACACTGAATTTAGTAATTGATTTATTATAGTATTGATAATTAAGTTGTCTATAGTGTATCTAAGTGTCTGGCAAATAAAGGAATATACATTGATTTTCTCTAACAATATTTGATGCATTTATCATTTTTATATATTTTGGAGAGTCTAGTATAATTTTAATTTTGTAGGAAGTTATTTATTTCATAGTTGTAGTCTAAATCTTCATCTTGCCAGCTGGTGAAGTGGTTGTTCATTTTTTAAGTGCTATAGATTATTTGCTATTGTGAACCAGTGAATTTTCTTTATTATTTGATCATCAAAATTGATTTGGTGTGATTTAGAAGTCTCCATTTTACAAGATAGATTGCACTTGTGATACATTGAGTCATTAGTTTAATAGAAATTTCTATAGCTTGTTAATCATATTGTAAATAAGAATGTTATTGTTATATTTATATATATTAGTCTAATATTAGGAGTCAAACTATACATTTGATTTATACTTGCAAGTTTATCTACTACTTCATTGTGTTCAATTCCTGGGTATACCTTGATCTTTTTAACTTCAAGTTAATACTCTTTTTTTTATGTATAGTATATCTTGAATTTGTTGTATAAGATTGAAATTCTTTTATTTTTTAGCACTTTATTTGAAGGTATCTGAGTAATGTTATTGATACTATTTATGGTAGTATTATGTCTATAAATATATTAGTATAACTAAAGGTTAATAGGATACTTAGAGTAATTAGTATTGTCATTATTTCTGCTCTAGTGGATAATGAGTATTGAGATATTTGTTTTTAAAAGATAAATTCCATTTCTTCACTTGTAATAATCTTTATATCAATAGCCATAAGCCAATTATAGTTGTGCTCTTTAATAAAGCTGTCTATATATATGTTAAAGAACATATTATCTTGCATTTTGAAGGCTAATTTAGATAGTTCTTCAAGTATATAATCTTTTGTAACAAAGAGTTTTTTAAAAAAATTGTCTAGGTTTTGTATAACTAAAATAATAACTTCTGCTTAATTGCCATTAGAGGTTATATTAAAAGGATATAGTTTATTGAGTATAGTGTAAATGGAATCTGGAGATACTTTGCATCTGAATGTTCTACTCTCTGTATTAGCTATATTACTAGTAGTGACCTTGCAATAATGAACTAGAATGTTAATTGAATTTTGATGATATGCTAAAAAAGCACATGAGTAATTGTTTTAATTATGATTATTGATATCACAATCTATACATTCAACTAGAGGTAATTGATTATCAATTCTGTTGTAATACTTATATTCTATTAACTGGTTATTCAATTTTTTCTATTTTCTATCAAGAACTATCTAATTATTGAGTTCTAAACTAATCCAGTATAGATGAGCTGTATTTTGGTTTATAAATTGGCTATAGTATAGTAATGAATTGATTAGAGATTATTACAGCTAGTTGTTAGTAATTCATTCTTGTACTCTATATTTAAGTATATGCTATTAAGCTGTGTATGAGTAATTGAGTCTAATTACTTGATACCAATATAATATCTTTTTTTTACTATAATTTAGCATTTGACCAATAAAGAGAATATTGTTTCTTTAGATTTTTTCTATATTATTGTAGAAACTTTTGCTTGTAATTTCCTTAATAAGAGTATCTATTTTAGCAATTTTGATATATTTTACATTTAATATATTCTGGAAAGAAAACCAATATGTTCGTAATAGCTATATGATATTATATAGGATATTTTTTTCTGTGATGGGAGGGTTATACTTAGCTGACTTATTATTATTTTTGTGAATCAAAATATATTTTGTAGAGATTGTAATCTTTTTCTTCAATTTCCCCTATTATATTGTTTTGATTAATTTGTGAATTCCAATTTATAGCATAAACCAAAAATTGTCGATCCTATTTGTGCATTATATTATACTCAAATTTGTTGTATAGTATGCTATTAGAAACTATATTTATAAAGCCTAACTTGTATTTGAAGATAATTGTTAACTTGCTTATAATTTTATTACAAATGTCCCTAGTAAGAACTATATCTATTTATAAGTAATTCTTTTTATTTCTAGGAGTGTTTATATTTTTTGGATTTTTTGTTCGATCAGGACTTTTGGATAGTTTTTCCTTTTATAGTTATTATACTATACATCAGGATTTTAACTGGAGTACCTTTTTTGCATTATGTGATTCTTTAATAATTCATATATATACCTTATATATAGTTATTTTCTTTACTATTAATTATTAGAAGCTGGGATTTCTATGGATTTACTTTGATATTATTGATGTAGAAAAATTGTTCAACAGTATTTATAATACTTTGGAGTACTAATTTATTGGTTGCAATCTGCATTGTTATCAGAAAATTTTTTGATAAAGATTTTTGGAAATTTTTGATATAAAACTCTGAAGAAACTCTGTTATTATTAGAAGACTCCAGAGTGGAGATTTATATATAAAACTTTAGAGATTTTTTAATGTTTTAAATTTTAATAAAATAATTTCACATATTATTAAAATATTTATTTTTAACGATTTATTTATTAAAAATTACTTTTTATATATTTTTATTAATTATTTACATTTATATCACTTATTGTCAAAGTTGATCTTTATATTCCTATATTTTTCAGTTATAATTTCACATCATTTTTATTATTTTCTACTTTCTCTAGAGTATTTTGAATTTCAATATCTTATTATTCATGCATTTCTTAATCTTCATCACTTGAATTGCCATTTGTAAATCCAA